ACGATTAATGATCGTAATTACGCGTTCTCGCTCGCGAGTCGCTATCGCGTCGTACTATCTCGTTTTCCCGTGTCACGATATTCGGCGCATGGAGCATTAAAAAAAAATTTTTTAAATAGCGAGTCACATATGCGCCGGGATTATCTTTCTCACGCTCAGGAAAGCGGGACGCGCCGAGGTGCGCGATTCAAAACCGTGCGAACGCGACGGGCGCGCGCGCGCACGCATGAATGAGACGCATAAATGCAGCGCATCTTTCCCGCCTATCGATCGATAGCTATTGACCTAGCTGCCGATACCAATGTGCATCGAGAGCGATCGTAAATTGCCGACCGGAAATGCAACCGTGAGCAACCATGAAGATTGTGTGTTTTTTTTGTACTCTTGTGGTAGCGCAAGACTTCTGACATAATTACATAAGTGCACATAATACGTATCATAATTATGCGATATCCATAATTTCTTCTAATATACCAATTACGAAACTAAGCATCCGTAAAACGGTACTGAGATAATTAAACGGCTCGCGTTACATGAAAAAGAAAATGTAATTTATATTTAAAGGTACTTGGGGGGAAAATGTTAATTTATCGTAAAAATTGACTTCACCCCTGAAATTCTCTATGTTAAATGTCTACTCCTTCCAAACAGACCATCCGATAAAGAACCCTGACGAATGACTGGGATTATATTGTCGAGGCAAAAAATTAGGATTGAAATTAATTGTTTCAAGAATGAAGCAAGAGAGATATTGAGTAAAGTTCGCAGACGGGCTCTTCGTGATTCGCAACCCCGCACGGTTGTCGTTTGTTCCTCCTCCCGTTTTCTTTTTACTCCGATTGTCGGCGTGCATCTCGAATGTGATAAACGACCCGGCGCTTCATTATTCCACGCTGCATAATATCCCGCCGCATCGTCGCCGGCGTACATGTTGTATAACGTGAATCGGCCTCTATCGCGTACGCGGGCGCTCGCTATTAAATTGCGTGCGCTCCGCTACTTGCGTGAATCCTACGCACGCACTCGCACGCATGCGAGCGCCCGTTAAGAAAGTTAATCTCTCGATGCGTTTTACTAGGCCCTCAATTTACTCGGAGGCAACGTATCTGGAGCGATAATTAACGAATGAATATAGACGGGTGGGAATAGTATTAGTGAGCGAATATCTGTACGATTGCGGGTAAAATCGACCCATCCGGAATACAAGTGACAGACTACAAGATGATATACAAATTGCACCCCATACAGGGGGATGTGTGTACATCGGTGTCATTTGGATTCCCAAAGTGCGTCGAAAGGGAAAGTGAAAGCGTCACCTAGCTGGCACCTGCTTTCCCATGACCCATGGCATGCTTCGATACCACCTTTCTCCTCTCTTTTTTTTTTCGATCTTGGATCCTCTGTCATTGGAGACCGAGTATCAATTTATAATACACTAATATCGGGGAACGGAAATCCCAGGGCCACGGACACGAATACAGATTATCATCGATCGGCGTAGATGATGAATCTGATTCTACGAAACTCGACCGACTTCGGTGGTTCGCGAATTCTTAATGGCTCGAGGATAAGAGACAAGTGGCCGCGCTTAACGATAATTGATGGATTAACTGGGCGATCGGATGTCGTTGCAGCGTCGTGCGCAACGTAACGTGATACGTGTAATGTAACGTAATAATGCATTTTAACGTAATGCGAAAATTAAGTAGTGCATCGTGGCGGAGGGTGAGCGCGTCGTGCGTCTACCTTATTATCAGAGCGACACCGGGCACGCTTATCGTCGCCGATCGCATTCGGCAATTATCCCCCTTCGTGAATCATTACGTGTCGTTACGTTACATGTACGCGTATCGTTGCGTGCGTGCGTGCGTGCGTGCACGCGCCGTGAGTGCATTCTGACGAGCTCCGGTGACGAACGACGGTGGGATGCGCATCGTCGCGCGGAGCGTTTTACATGTATGATAATCTGCCAAACAGATCAAACAACGCGTCATATCATAAATATTTATACTACACATTTATCCCATGAATTATTGATTATTGACTTTGTAAATGCGACAAGTGACCGCGTTAAATTTTGGGAGGCAGAAGCAAAATTGCAATTGATAAAAATAATAATTTCGAGATACGTAAGTAGCTCGCAATAATCGTGCTTTCTCAAATAGATGTGGATAATACGAAATGACAATAATGGAACCGAATGTATGTATTAACTCCGTAGCCGAGGGAGCAACGTGACAGAACACGAGAACGAGTAATAAATATAATTATACAAGAGAATAATAGACCCGCGTGATTTACCGTAACTGACAATGGCGCTATTAAAATTAAATAAGCTGCTTCGCCAAAGGGAAAAATTGCACCAAGGAACGAAAGTAGGACACAATATGACGGGCCCGTTCTGCCTATAGCAGAGTAACAGCGCTTTACACATCGCCGCTGTCATTACGTCGTCGCTGTCCTATCCTTTCGGTGTGTACGAGCCTTTGTTTCATTCACCGACGACCGGCGTACGAGAGAGGAGCCGGCGCGAATGGCGAGCGTACGCACGCACGCACTCGAGCGCGGAACCCCTTCAAGGATGAGAGCGAGCCGAGGAGAGGAGAGAGAGGGACTCCCTCAGTTTGTGTCTTCCCTCGAGCGCACATCCTCTTCCATTCGGCGAGGACTTTAATTTGGCTCGTACGCGATTACTACGACGACGACGACAGACGGATCACCTTTCCTCCGTTCCCCTCGCGCTCGCGGATGCGATTCTAACGCGAATTTGCATTTTGTATATGTATTTTATCGCATAATCGTGTACCTCTCCACGCGTGGTTAGACAATCGGGGAAATGTCTGGCTGTCTCTTACAAAATATTGCCAGTTTATGGCAATAATAATTCTGGCAAAACTTGTATGTATAGAGGGTCTATAATTGACAATCTATAATTTAGGCAATTCTGTGATTTTGTGTGCGAAATGTAAAAGAAACGTTTTAAAAAGCGCGCGCACACAGACGTGTATAAGATACATATCAAAGTGCGCGCATACATCAGAAACGCGGCGTATGAAATTATATTTGGGATTCTGTCCCGAATGCCTGCTGTGAATTATAGAATCCGAAGTGGGCTTACACGAAAACCACATGAAATATTCAATGTTACATAGCATGACTAACGTTATTAACACGTGCCTCTTGAAATTATGAACATTTAACAGTTTCCGTTTCCAGTTAAAGCTACAGTTGTTCCAGGTCATAAAATCGCACGACCAGTGCTGTATATAATATGTAGAATATTACACGGAGAATTTTCTCTTATAATTTACCTTGAAGATTTAGTAAAACGTATGATAAAATTTACAAAAACTGTCGTAAAATTCTCCTCAAAATGCGAAATTGTCCCACGATTACGTGATTTTCGGAATAAATTTTAAGAGAAGATTCTCCCCGTCTACATATGCAATATAACAAAGAAAGAGCGACGAAATTTTATACTAACATTAAATGAGACTGCGTTAGCACGTATATGTGTGTTCAAACGTTTTCCAAATTATATATATTACAAAATAATTTTAACATTCGGAATATGTCATAATGCACAAATCTTTCGTTAGTTCCTGATTTATAAAAGGATAGATAAAAAGGAACTTTTGTAAACCAAGTCCCACTTTCTGGCTGTATGCTAAAGGTAATAAAGCATATATATATATATATATATATAAAAGGATAGATAAATCATATATTCGTATGTTCCCCATCATGAAGATCGTAGTAACATAATAAAAATGCGCAAGCAGGTAACAATGCATAATGTATACGCATCTAATAAATCATATATATGTCTACCTTAATTAATTACCGTAGTGCACATATAACATCTATAATAGTAATATATATTCTTTATCCGCGGGTCTTATCGTCCAAGATCCTCCGCAGTATGCTCCCTCGTGCTTTAATGACGAAACGGAGCCACGTTACCCGGTTTCGTCACAGCTGAGCGATGGGAGGCGAGCAGCCTCGGCGGATTCAATGGACTTTTGATCAAGACGAAGGACACGTAGTACTCGTCGCGCGTTACTCCCGCCGTGTAATTTCACGGTCGAAAGAGAACGGGGGTACTACGACGCACTCCAGAGAGCGGACGTAGTAACCTCGCTAGAGAAAGGGTAGACCTCTCTTTCTGTCTCTGTCTTTCTCCCCCCCCCCTCTCTCTCTCTCTCTCTCTCTCTCTCTCTCTCTCTCTCTCTCTCTCTCATTCGAAACTCGAAACAGAGATCAAGGCTGCGTGAATTTCGACGAAGTCGCCGTTGCACCTGTGCATAATTATCGACGATTAAAGGTGCTTCAATGCTCCCGCGTTTAAAGGGACGCACTCGGGTCACGCGTTTCCTACTAGCCTGCGACGAGACTGCTTCTCTTCGTAGAAAATGGGTGAATCTAACGGTTCTCTGACGAATCTCTCGCCGACTCTCTATGTTAGATTATCTCTGTGCACTACGGTAATTAATTAAGGTAGACATATATATGATTTATTAGATGCGTATACATTATGCATTGTTACCTGCTTGCGCATTTTTATTATGTCACAACGATTTTCATGATGGGGAACATACGAATATATGATTTATCTATCCTTTTATAAATCAGGAACTAACGAAAGATTTGTGCATTATGACATATTCCGAATGTTAAAATTATTTTGTAATATATATAATTTGGAAAACGTTTGAACACACATATACGTGCTAACGCAGTCTCATTTAACATAGAGATTAAATGTTCGCTTTTTAATGTAGCTGAGACTGCACGATAGAGCATCTTATTCCGAAATAAAAAAAAGATTTGCGAGATCTCGCCTCTTTCGGTAACGAGGAAGCGAAACGAGCTGAGGCTAGAACCTGTAGTAGTAGAAGATCGCAATTCACGGTGACCGCGTATTATTGTATATCTCTCGCAGGAATAGAGTGTTAATCGCGAGGTACTAATCGAACGGCATCTGTCTCGCTTTGTTGCAGAGGTGGGAGCAGCTGGTCGTCTCCAAGCTGAAGTGGGAGCTGTCCGCGGTGACGCCGGGTGACTTCATAATGCACATCCTCAGCAGACTGTCGATGCCGCGCACCTGCGATATCATGATGGTCCGGAGGCACGCGCAGACCTTCATCGCTCTCAGCGCCAGAGGTGAGAACGACAGATCAATATGATCCATCCAGAGAGACTTGAGTAACGGGGAGTCGCAACAAAATTCCCCTTGGCGTTGTCGTCACTGAAGAAGGAGGTGACTTCCAATCCTTATCCTCCTTTGTTCGCACACTCGAGCCCACAGACTAGCGTCTATGGTTTTCCGAGTATCGGGGCGGTCGCCACGAACGTTTTAAGCGGGACGATGAACGACGCGTCGTAGCACTTTTCCGAAGTGTTCGTACGCACGTTGCGTGCTACCGTATGCGTATGTGTGACATTAACAACCGGCGACGTGAGTCGTTAACATACCTGCGCATTAATGAACATGTGCCACGAAAGTGCGTCGTAGAGCGCACACCGATGGCGGAAACTGTCACGTAACAGTCACACGAATCGCTCCTTTGCTTTTCCTCGCTCCCCCCCTCCCTCTCTCTCTCTCTCTCTCTCTCTCTCTCTCTCTCTCTCTCTCTCTTTCTTTGTTAAATGGGTCACGCATATACATATAGACGAGGTCGTCAATAATGCGGTTGCTTAAGAGATTGCTAATCCGTTATTACGGTTATTTGCATCTTCCGTCTATACTCGCGCGCATTAGTTTCGAAGGAAGAGAGGAAGGGCCTGTGCGTGCCCTATCAAAAATAAGTAGTATAATTTTTCCGTACGATGGCACGGTGTTATCATTTTTAAGTGCTGTTACTGGTCATCGCTACGCCGTAGAGCCTCTGCGGTATCTGTGCTAACAACGGTGGAAGATAGGAGTGTACATTTTCTAGCAGCCAATAAATATTACAATGTAAATTATTATATACATATATAATAATAATCATGTATTGTTATTGTAAGATCACTATTGCGTAGAGAAATCGTTCGAGTTTCCTCTCATTTTGAAGCTTCCTTAAAATCGAAAAGACTTGTCCAATGCTGGGAATCCTTCTTTATCGCTAAAAATGTCACTAAAATTGGTTCTGAAGGAACCTTATTGGCAGAAAGAATCTTTTAGGGGCGCTTTTATCGGTAAAAGAGGATTCCAAATGTGGGCCTATATCGCAAAACGGAATGCGATAAATGTGAAAAATGCTTTTGTGAAATATTCCGCGCCTTACAAGATAAGGAGGATAACTTTAATTGTTTTTGAATGTATTTAAATACTGACTTGGAGACTTGTATGAAGGAGTAGAGTAATACAATCTTAGCACTCTCGCGATTCACAATTTTTAACTCGATAACTTATAACTTATCTTTATTTATATCTTTTGGAAACAGAAGTAAACTTACAGTCAATAGATGAAGAGGTTGAACCTATTTTTCTATTATTTTTAAAAGCGCGAGAGACGTAGGAGAAGATTGAATCAAACTGTCTTCCTTGGTCCTTAAACAAAAATTTGCTTCTCAAAGATTGTTATAGACCTTCGTGATTCACGTCTATTGTTCTTGATTCGTGACGGGAACAGAGAGAAAATCCGTCGGGAAGCATGCGACGAGATTGACAGATTGATACTACAAGAAAGATCGAGATCAGCCATGTTTAAATGTCTGGATGCGGCTCTACGGCTGCAGACACATGAGTGCAACCCGTGTGTCTCTCCACTCTCCTCGTCCTCCTCTTCCTCCTCTAATGTGACCGTTCTTTGCGCCATCCTCTCTTTTTCTCGATTCTCTATCCCGTAAGTTCGCATCGGTCGGTCGGTCGGTCGGTCGGTCGGTCGGTTAGTTGGTTGGTTGGTGGGTTGGTGGGTTGGTTGTTATTACAACCACGATGGCAAAAAAGCGGTAGCGCGCGGAGAGGGCCTTCGTTGGTCCTGGTGCTCGTGTTGGGCCGCGGACTCTCGGCGGGCTCGAGACAGAGCGCGAGAGAGAAAAAGAGAAAGAGTAAGAGAGGAGAACACCACAGGACGAGGTCGCGGATTGTTTCTCACGGACCAAACTAGGCAGTGCCGCACTCGGACGGCGCTCCGCATTTTTTTTTTTCCGAAAGAAAGCGAGACGATAAGCCGACTCGAATTTTCCGCGAAATCGCCAGAGGGAATAAATAGCCGACGAAAAATATACGAAGCCCCGACGACAGGTTGCACACTGGGGTACCCGGCGGGTACCAAGCCGTGTTACGCAAGATGAGATAGATTATAAGAAGGCCGAAATATCTAAAACATTCCGTTTCGAATTCCGTTAGCAACTCATTCTATGTACTGTTATAGATTGCTTGTGGATTTTACATATCTGCATAAACACCTACATCCACATGACTTTTCCAAAGATCGCGCACGATATTCGTACTTTTAAGACTGGTCGTTCCAACTTCTTGGTAAGTTAACTAATAGTTAAATCATGTACATATGTCTTTGTTTTGCCTTCAGATTAAACGAAGACGTATAATAATTTAACTATTAGTTCATCAAGCGGTTGGAAAAATTGCAGCCCCGAGTCTATGGAAGAAATTAAGTTGCGGGAAACGATTGCTTGAAGCGAGAACAGACTCGCGTACGAGAAGTGTACCCGTCGAAACTCGATATGTTGTACGGCGACGTGTACCCGTGAATTATTATTTGTTTACACGCAGTGGCGGCGAGAACTGCCGCCGGTCGTGATTGTCATGAGCGACGGGAAGTGACAACGCGAGGTGTGTAGCTTAGATTATGTAAGCTAAACACTCTCGCGAGGATTGAGTTTCGGTACGCACAAGTACTGGTGCAACGCGATAATTTCGTCTGATGTTCACATTCCACGGCTATCTCCGCGCCCTGCCTCTCGCCCCGTAAACACTCTCCGCGTCTTCTCCGTACTCCCTTATTAAACTGGTTTTACGTATCTGCATGCCGTGCACGCTCTTAATTTCACCGGTTAATAACCGCGACGTTCTCTCCCCGGGCGATTTAATTGCCGATCAGCCACGATCGTCTCGAAGCGTAACGCGAACGAGCGCATTGACGCGTCGTGCACGCCGCGTTTGCATTTTCACTAAGGCCGTCATGTGTGATCTTTATCTGGTGAATTTATCTAAACTAATATATCGATTATTTCGTATAATCACTGAACACTCGTATTTTTTCCCACATTAAATGTCACATCAACTTATCTTCGAACACTTTCTCAGTGACTTTCCCTGACTATTTCGATACAGTTATTGCTTAGAGAAAAAAAACAAGCTAGAATTTGCGAGTATTATATATCAAATATATTAATTTTCTTACTAAAACTTCAAACATTTTTAGTCGATTTGAATATGTAAATCTCTTACCCTTAGAATAGGCGGGTATGAAAAACCGATATGAAAAACACTGACGTGGGTGTAATTACTGTCGCCTCTGACAACTTCGGTCTCTAAGGGCGCATCGGTAACGGCGATACCGCTGTGAAAATCGCGTCGTTAAGATGACGATCGAGAAGGTCCCCGGTCGGCGCAGATGTTAACGATATCCCGCATCCGTCCAGGACCCGTCGAGGATCGCTCGGGCTCGCGTTGAAATGCTAGAACTTTCTTCCTGAAGAAACGAAAGTGACGTCTCTCTGGACAAAGGGGCTACCACGTGCCCCGCGTTCCGTCCGTTCCCGCCCCCGTCGTAAATCTGTCGCGTAATTTCGGGGAGCTATCCGAGGAATCTCCACGAAAGTGGTTTTCTCCCCGTCACGATTGTTTGCCAACTGTAACTGGGGTAAATAATGAAGGGTGTACTTAAGCGAGATAAACGCCCGTGAAGAAAGATCATCCATAAAGAAGATGGGCTTGCGCCACGAAAGTCAATGAAGTTTAGCAGAGAAAGCAATTATTAATGTATAACATCCTTCCTTCTCGGCGCTGCTTCAATTAATATACTTCTTCTTCAAACGCAACAGACTCATTTTTCCTCGATTTCATAATACAGTTTATGTCGTATGTGAATCGTCTTACGTAACTTGGTATGCACTAGACATCTATCATAAGGGAAGCGACACATCACCTCGATGCACGACGACGAAAACAAAAGGAATTTATAGGAAGCGTGCGGCATTACAAAATTTTCATAGCGTAATTTTGTTTTGTGCAGAGTACAAGTTCTCCATGTACACGCCGAGCATGATCGCAGCTGCGAGCGTAGCGGCGGCGTTACACGGGCTGGATTGGACCGGGAAGAGCGGCTACGGACTGGCCGGCCTCCTGGACGAGCTCACCCGCATCACGGCCATCGAACAGGTGAGTAACGTGCGTATCAGAAGGGTTGCGCGTCGCACGTGCGATGCAAAGTGGAAGACCGCGGCCCGCCTGTCCGCGGAAACGTCTTCCCTCGACGTTTTACAGTCGCCCCGAAGCGAACGCGACGTCTCGCGATGAAGCATCCTCGAGTTCCCCAAGCCCGGCGGAGGCGGAGGAGGACCCCGCCGGCTGCGATGCGCGCCGGTCGATGTCTGGCGTCCGGGGCCCGCCGTCGCCGAGGGGGGACGCGGAATCGGCAAGAAACGCTGGAACTTGCCCTTCGCAAGTCTCGACTCGTGGTTGAGACAGACCTCGCGGAACGCAAAAAGCGCGACGGGAAGTGTGCGGGAAGGGTGCAACAGGTGCCGGGCATATGTTCGCGCGCGCGCGGGGAAGGGAAAAAATTGGCGGGGGAGCCCCGCGGAGTGTCTGCGCTGCGGGCCCCGTATGCGCGCCGTCGAAGACGAGGTCGCCGTTCCGTCTCTTTTCCTTTTCCCCTTGCTGTCCCCTTACTTTCTCCTTTCTCTCCTTTTTCTTTCTTCCTTTCTCTCCCTATATATGCCTAGCACAGTCATTGTAGAAATAAGAAATTAGAAGTAAGAAATAAGAAGGGAAAGAGATTAGGGGTAGAGATTAGAGAGAGTATGAATGAGAGTGTGGATGAATGAGTGGTTAAGGAACTTTTGTAAACCAAGTCCCACTTTCTGGCTGTATGCTAAAGGTAATAAAGTGCGCGAATGAATGAGGCCCTGCATGGAGTTCGTGACCCGTAGGCACAACATTTTCAACGACCAAGTTGTCCTCGTCTGTCTGGATCGCCAGAGGGCCAGGAAGACGTCCTCGCGTCGGCAACCGGCCTTCTTGGACATTCATGACCTTAGACTGTAGACTGCACGCTGCGAAAGACGTTACGAGCTTTGAGCCCGACGGGGTTAATGCGTAACACTTTAACCTGCTTGATCCCATAAACGAGAAGTTAGCCCGAGGCGAAAACCTATGTCATTCAAGTCATCATTAAATGTGTCAAATGCTCAATTTCTTTGTTCTTTTCCGTATGCGAATGCTCAGCGTCATATTCTCAATGCTACAAGTCATAATTAGCTCATGAGTTGCGGTCAGACTTGTCATCTAAGTACTCCTTGTCATATTTTGTAGCGTTGTGTCATACAAGAGCTCTTTTACCAGCTCACCAGCTCCATTACCAGAGCTCACTATAGACCAGCTAAAACAACATTTTCGCGTTTGTACCTTACTTTATATGGAAGTTCATTTATTACAAGATAAAGAGGCCAAATACTAAATTTTTTGGATTTGAATACAGGTACACCATCACTGTTCCACAAAAAAGAAATATTAGAATTACTAGAGAGAAAGCCATTTCTAACTTCCTCTTGATACAGCTGGCCATCATATATGTCTTCTATATTATCAATTGACACTTTCTTTCTCGTAAATCTACACATAATTCTAGAGCCATCGGAGTTCCATCAGCATAGCTGATATAAAATAAGATAATAAACGACGAGATCATTATCCTTTTTATTACAATACGTCGTTTCCTTGTTTCAGGATTATTTGCAAGGCTGCTTAGAGCAGATCGAGGAGATGATCTCGCAGGCCGCGCACGTGGGCACCGAGGGTCCAGGAAACGGAAGCGGGCACCAAACAATGAGTGCCGGAGTTCCGAGCGCGCCGCAGAGGCCGCTGGGGGACCAGAGCAACACGAGTCAGGAGAAAATATTGGAGCACGAGAAGGCAGGCACGCCGACCGACGTCAGGGATGTACATTTTTGAAAACCGCAGTAGGGGGACACTCCGTAGGGGCCGACACATTGGTGAGTCTAACAGCCGAGGAGAAGTTACCTTCCAGCGAAGAGGAGGATAACGATGTTAACGATGATGGACAGCCAGAAAAGAAGCGGAGGAGAGTCGCCGAGGATATACTGGATGCGAAATGTAATACGGAACCAGCTGGTTGCCATTCGGAGCGAGAAACTCCTCCCGAAGAATCTCGAGATCGAACTTGATCACTCCATTAATTGCGTTTGATTGGAAACTACGACGCCAATTGCCGTAAGCCGGAAGCATGCGTAGAACACGTTTTGAATCATGGATATGAGGTTTATTTCGATATGAGATTGGCAGGGCGTACCTATGCAAGGGATTTTTTACATTCTTGGATTTATTTCGAAGATCGCATACGCACGATACGTTCTAGATCAACTGGAGCAACGAAGAGTTTTGGTTTTTTTCCCCCATAGTTACGTCCGACTATATAATGTCTTGTGTATTATATATTTATTTGACGTATGCGTTCATCGTTTATCGGCGATATATATTTCACGTTTTAATCGTATTTTACAAGTTTATTTACCGAAATCGCTTCGACTTCGCGAGATCACAAGTCAGCAAGTCGAGGAACAGTCGGCTCGCCGACTTTCTGATCAATTTCCAATTGAAGGACGAGCGATTCAGTTAGTGACTGAACAAACGTACGTTTCAATCGCAAAACCATTGTTTGCGATGTCAACTAGGGGAACAAACGAGATTAAACGACGAAATTTACACCGCGACTAAAAACGCTCTCGAGATAATGCGAAAGAAACGCGAGGGGTTGACCACTGGGGGAGAGAGATCCATTTGTGTCTGAATCTGCGCTGTTCCGATGTGTGTCGCCCGTAGATAAAAAGGAAAAAAAAACGGAAAGAGAAAAGAGCGCAGGAATCAGGTAGGCGTGCTGTTTGGGGGAAGGCAATGCAATACGCTTTACGCATCCGTAATTTCGTAATAGGACATAACACTTAACTTTTAGGCAACGAGACAAGAAAGTACCGAAAAAAAGACGAAAAGGACGATATAAGTTGGAGGAGGAACTCGTTCTCCGCGCGCGAGCACTAAAAAGAAAAAAATTCACTTAGTCATATTCAGAGTCATTTAGCGTTTTGTACATACATAGGCACGTATAGGCGTACGAATAAATGAATATATATATATTATGTCGAAAAAAAAATATATATCTATATATACATATGTAAACTGATGAGGGAGAAAGGGAGAGAAACAAAGAGAATGCACGATAAAGGCGAAAAAATGCGAGTTAACAATCGATAGGAATACTTGGACTGTATTGCTTGCGATATTGAATTATATTATGTGTAACATAACTTGAATAAATAATCTAAAAAACTGCTAACTTTTACTCAAGAGAAATACGGCTCTCTTTAGAAATCATTTGGCGACCGGTCAGAAGGACCGTTTTGAACATTTTATTTCTATCGAATTTCTAGGAGAAAGTTAAAGTATGTACGGAACATCAAGTTGAAGTGCAGTCGCAAAATACTTCAGCGAAACCGTTCTTTCCGTGAACGAATACATGCAGATATTTTTTTTAATGGCAAAGGTATTCGTTTTATTTTTTTTTCTAGAAAGAAAACTCATGGGAAACGTAACAAAGTCTGTGATGTACAGTGCGAAACAGGTTTCTCGAAATTTTTCATCGCGCGATACGGTCCGATTGCTTCTAGTTTTGTAAAGTTTCACACTTCGACTAAGGTTTATCCAAATGATGAGCGACGCGAGTCTTTATGCTCGAAGGATTACGACGCGACCGTTCGCTTATCCCGCTCGGTTCCTAAGAAGGGTTTGCGCCAACCCCTCCCGCGTATGCGTAACGTAATGCGAAACGTAAAAAGAATGATTCGCGATGTGTATGCGTGTATCACCGTTACTGCTATGTGTGCGTGTGTGCGTGTGTGTGCGAAAGGGGCGAGAGTGAAAGAAAATAAAGGAGAGCGGAGTTATAACAAGAGAGAAAGAGAGGAACAATCGAGCAAAAAACCAAAAAAAAATTGACTTACTCCCCCTTTCGAGAAAATGTCGTTATATTATAATCCGTGGTACATGTATCTCAAGGTACGTCCGTCGTTTATGCGGGCGTGTTGGACGGCTGTATATACGTATAGATAGGCTGTATGATTTAAGAATTAATGCGTAGCGAGTTTAAGGGGGGAAAAAGAAAAACTAAGCGAATCTATGATAAGTGGGAAAAAAATGAATGATATTTCACGAAACGAACGATATGAGAAGAATTTCGTCGAATCACTGCGATGAAAGACAATCGGAGTCCAATAGTTTCTTCACCGCGTTTCGACTACATATCGTTTAGAAAATATGTGTCTGCGAGTACTCCTGAAAGAAGCTTCGCTTAGAGGGTATCGCGCGATCGTTTGATTCTCGAATTATTTTTACGCGTATATAAATGGTCCTGATTGCGCGATGCCTCCTACGATTCTAAACGTCGTTCGGAGCGACGTGGCGAAACTAACGTGTGATGGTCGTGCGCGTCGACGGAGGGGGACCGATGTCCAAAAAGTAGATTGGAGCTGCTAGTACTTAACGGGAGTCATGCAAGAGGTCTCAAAGGTCCGGGACGGGACGAGAGTTTCGCGCCCGTGAAAAATCTCGCGATCGCATCTGAGATCTCATCGCATCTCAGAGTCTCGGGGAACGGGACGTTCCGTCTCGTCTCTCGAGGTCACATGATTTCGCGTGAAATTGTCCCTGCGTTCCCTGCGTCTTTTACGTGTCCTACGTCTACGCGACGCGCGGCTCCGAGGATCTCCGCGCGTGAGAATTCGCGAGCCGGCTTGAGCGGAAACGCGAAGGATGTGCGTATGCGTGTACCGTTTATACCGAAGGAAAAGAAAATCGGGCGCGTCAATACGAAGAATACGTATCGCGTAGCTAGTAAGGTCTCTCGCTGGACGAGTCGGTCGAGTTGGCTCGAGCAGAGGCACAGGGAACGACGAGCGATAGGGTCCACGTGGCGCGGATCTGGTAGCTTCCGGGGACGATTATTCGCGAATCGGCCTGGACTGTCCGAGCGCGCGTGCACGCGTGAATCGACTCGAAGAAGGCACGAAGATATTAAAAGACTTTGGAGATCGCTGAAGTTCACGCGTGAATTCCATCGGGGATTGGGGAACAAAGAGGGTGCCCAATGTGCCACGAAGCTAACTAGGGCACTAATTAGCTGCGTAACGTCAATTTAACCAAATCCTAGTACAATGTAACCGGAGTCGAGTAATACAAAGATATCGCAGGAGATCTGCACGGCTGATCTTTTTTACCTTATATTTCCTTTTCTTTACCTACTTCTTGGTTTTGGATACTCGGCGCATGAGTATCGTCGTCGATTACGCGTCTTTCTTCGAACTCGACGTTAACGTTATCGTGCAACCGACGCAATTAATCGATTCCAATTCGGCAGGAAGAAACCCATTCTCACTGTAAAATTTCCGAATCGAGAAAATCCAATTTGAAAAAGAAACCGTATAGTTTTTTTGGAGACTGAACTCCTTTCCTGTAGAATATTGCTGCAAGTTAAGAAATATTCGTATTGTTCAGTACTCGCTTTTATAATAAAGAAAAATCTTTTGTCTTGAAAATAATTTTTAATAAATAAATATATATTGATTACACATAAATTAATTAAACCCTTAAGCTACTACACGTAACTAGTGGTAGCTTTCTGCTGTATAGAAACATGCGAGAATATCTTCATATGTTTCTATTTGTATTTGTTTCATCGAAAGACGTTTTTATGACAGTATTACGCGATACGATGAAATGGAAAGTTGGAAACAGCGAAACACCAATAATCGCGGCACTAATATCGTTAACTCATGCTTCACAAAATTGTGCGTACAGCGGCGTAGCTCTGCGTCTAGCTCAGCCGTAGCTTAAGGGTTAATCGCGTGTAAGAAAGAAGAGTGAATGAAATTACGTCAAATTTATGAAAGTTTTGAAAATGAGAATTTTCTTCAAGGAATCTGTCAATATTGCGAAATAATTACGTATTATTAATCGAGGATTATTAACTGCGGAATTGTACAGTTTTAAGAGAACACTGGAGATAGCATTTTATTCATCTTGTTGCGTTCGTATGTGTATGTACATATATGTAACTAATGTAATGCAAAGTGTTAAGAGACGATTTATTCGTTCGCTATATGCGTTGAATTTCGCTCGAGCCGAAATGTAATCCCGCGTAATCCATCGTAGGTTCCTAACGGGAGACGATAGTATATGTCTGTCGAAGAAAAAGATGTGGGATGCGAGCGTGATGTGCGCGTTTAGCGTTTAAGCAACCGAGATGTATATAGAAGCGATAATGCTGAAGGGAAAAACCGAGCTATGGAGCATTGTGTAATCCAATCCAATCCAACATGTTGTCGATCGACTAATCTCGTTAACTTTACTCAGTCAGACAAGATGACGTTTTTAACGTTACGTAAAAAAATAAGGTGTATCTATTGTCTGAAATAGTATCGTTTTTCTTGAGGAAAGCTGACGAGATTAGTGATAATTTTGAAAATTGATGACGGAAGAACGTGGAAAAAATGGAGAGAGAAAAGATGAAATGTAAAGTTCAATGTAGGTAGGTGCGATAGTAAACCAATGGATTAAGTTTTCTTCTTATTGTTATAAGAAGGAGAAGATCGCCCGAAAAGAACTCGAGGTTCAATTCTTCTCATAAGCAAAGAAATAATCTCCATGTGTGATATGCATAAATCATGCACGGAAACCATTCTCCATGATCGGTGATTCATTTTGCGTTTATAATTATGAACATGTAGACATAAAGACACATACACAACTCGGTTAGATACGTGTATATTTTCCCTCACATTTTCACGAAACTTTTCACTGATCTGTCAAGTGTCAAATGATTTTTCGTTTGTCTCTTCTTCGTTTTTTTTTCTTGCATTATTAATAGCGCAATAGGGAGTACCACACTGATATACCTCAAATCACACTTCGCCCGAGATATTATTCATCGAAGATTGTATCAGATCTACCGTACTTTTTTTACCGAGTCAGCAGGAAACGAAACATTTCATAATTGCGTTACTTTTAAAGATAGCACGTAAATTACTTATTCTTTTAATACATAGATGAGAATTGTACTATGTAAAAGGCCCGGCGTCTGTGTACATACCTTATGCGTATTCGCGTCATCGCAATCGATTGAAAATAAAGCATCGGTATTTTATACAAGTGTTCTGCGTATTTTCTTTACTCAAGCACTTTTCGTCTTACCTATGCAATTTCCTTCGTTAAGATAAAAAAAGTAATAACAAATATAGTTTTTTCCTTTTAGCAAGTTTGTTTTCCAAACTTAAATAATATTAAGTTACATGTTTAGATCTATTAATATTTGCTTTAAATGAAATAATTAAATTAATATCGCAAATTAATCAATTAAATCATGAAATATATACATAGTCTCTTACGTTATTTAAAAAATATTTTCCTTTAATTAAGAGAGAATTTTGTAACAGTGCTTTTTCTTACATAAAATAAACACATTGTATTTTCCATATCTCGCAATACCTATAAGCAAATATACATATATAATTAAAAGCAAGAGAATATAACGTTTTATTACATTATTTATTATTATTTATTTACATTTATAATAGTCATGAAGAAGAAACTGTACACCTAATTATAATCGAGAAATTATACTCGAAAACTTATAGGATCTAAGTCTAAATTGTTTAACAACATTATTTTTGTTATTATATTTTTAATTTTTACACGATATGCTAGAAAATTCAGCTAAATGTTTACATATACATTTTGATGTAACAAATTTCACAGTGTGTCATTTGTAGAAAAAAATATATCTATAAACATAGTTACATTGATTTTAAATCTCTAATAATGTTAATATTAGAAAACCTTTCCTTAATAATAAGAAACTGGAATGTTATAACATGAAAAAGAATAATCCTTTTTAGGACTGTCATATTGATTTGAAATCAACTATAAAATAATCCTGCGTACATTTCTTTCGAAGAGACGTTTTCTTCCGCTAAACAAGCTTTAGAAATGCATCGAAGTTTATCATGCGATATACGTTTATTAATTATTCTTTGTGCAAGACTCAATTTGTGATTCATGATAATTATCACCGTAGAAAATATCACGACAATTATCATCGTACAAAATAAATCCCCCTTATTCCTAGCTTTCGCACCTCGAAATACTATTTATCTTAATGTATGTTTTAAATACATACCTGAGAAATTAATGCATTGTAGAATCGATTTTTAAGAATATACCCAATTCAGTTTTAATCTTCAGACAACTAACGTTCGTTCAAACAAATAGCAATCAGGAGACTGACGACGAAGGGAACAAGGACAGTTCATAAACAAATACATTTATATCAAGAGGCACGGTGTCTCGTGCCAAGTATACGCGTAGCGAATATACGTGTGTAGCGAGACAGACAGTGCAGCTTTCACGCGTGACGACTTTTCTGAGAGATATTCGTTATCGGATTCTCACTAACGGCTGATCCGAACAGCTTCTAACTAACAATAGGTCCAATGGATAGCTTGGAATCGATTTATACAGGGTGTCCCAAAAATCCGGCAACGGCTAAATATCTCGAAAACAAAAGGTTTGAGAGAAAAACGTTTTAGACAAGAGTTATATGGTTCAACAAGGCGCATTTAGTGAACGTATGAGTTTGACCTTGCGTGGCATTACTAAGGTCAGGCCACGGTCATCTTGAATTTTTTGGAACCCCCATTTTTTATTGCATTTTTATTCTTACAGCTAAACCGAATGAATATGTTAATTGCCTTAATCTCTTTTTCACTCACTTGTAGCGCGCGCGCGCGCGCGCGCGTGCACGTGTGTATGTGTGTGTGTAAAATTAGAATTGCATATAGAATAAGTAAACTACATTTGTATTATATGTTCTATCTGCTTCTGCGAGTTATTGTGTAATTTAGATTGTAAGGAAATTATTATTATATAATTTTTAGATTATATAATGTTATTAATTACTAAGGCAATTAACATATTTATTTGACTTAGCAGCGCCAAGAATTTAGAACAAAATATTTATTTGTATAAATATTTGTCTGCTTAATATTATCTTCTTTATTTCTTCCAATAAAATCTTTTATTTAGTTGAAATTCTGATAAGCATCTTTAAGAGTTTTAATTTGCAAAGTATACATATATACAAATAATAAGATGGAGATTGATAAACTTTTAATCCTTGCGATAATGATTTATTCTACTGTACATAATATACCCTTACGATATATATGTATATACAACTTACATAATGAATGCTTTGTAAAACTCCTTGTACGGTAGACGAAACTTTATAATAATTTTCGCGTATATACAGTAGAGCAACAATCTCGTAAAGAACAGGATACGAAATTATTAAGAATTATAGGCTAACTACAATAAATGTTGAATCAGAAAATTCGGTTAATGAGTTCACGCGGAAGCATCACTGCCATGTATCCTCGTCAATGTCGCCAATAATTGCTTTGTCTTTACAATTTTGTACTCCACGAACATTGGTATGCATTGTATTATTTTACAAGGTGCATATAATATAATGCTAATGACGAGAGATGTATAATTTGAAGGGTATCTGTATAAAACGTTTGTCATGAAGTTGTTCGATCTCATATACAATATATGCAGCTCCACTTCAACGTGATCGTGTAAAACGCAGTTAAACTTATATCCTAACATAAAGGAGACACGATGTACACTTACAAAAGTAACATGAATATTATTCGTCAGTCTAAAATGATCACAATTCACATCGGCTACATAAGTTTTATATAACGACGTTGTAGGTATTTATTATTCCTCTACAAATGTGATGTACCGATCTAAAATCCTTTCGCGAAATGAAGAAACGTTTCTTCTCTCTTCGCTAGAAGACAATAATAGAGAATAAATAGAATAGAGGCAAGTTTTTTTAGGCAATGTACTTCCAATTACAGAAATAACTCGATTGTATGATAATACAATTTCATGATATTATGCATTATTGATGAATTGTACAGTTTAAAAACAAATCCTTCTAAATACTATAGTGCAAATGCATTGCTAGTTGACTACGAAGTGCGGTCGCGATCCTTGACGATGTAACATTCAATTATTATGTATTATTAAATTATTCAGGTTTATAATGGAATTGAATAAGAGGCAGAAACCATATTTATATCCTAGAGAGTACATTTTTATGTATGGATCTTCGTGTCTAGATTTTATGTTCTCAGCTCTCGTGCGGTAGTCTTCAAATCTAGGATTAAAACTATATTCATCTTTGTGCACATATCTTAAAACTATATTCATTTTTCTGCACAATCACAATGCTCCATTTCCTACACAGTTGTAATTTCAAGCGTTCAGGAAAGACCGTAGAAGTGTAAGACATAATAACCCGCTGATAGATTGTGGATAGCGGAGTTTTTATATCAGAGGACTCAGAGACATCATCCAATTTAAGGGCTATAGCCATGAGTATCGCAATGGGAGGATTATTTAACTCGGGGATAATTGGAACGACCATGGGCGGGAAAATCCTAGAAGAAAGTTTAAACTGTGAACGCATTATATTGTGAATGCGATATGAAAGTCATCGTCATCATAAGAAAACATTTCTAAATTTACGCTCGGGAAAGAACATATTATTCGGTGAAAGGTAATCGCTGCTGGATTGAGATTCTCCGTTTGTAGCTCGACATTTATCTCGTACTTATTTATTATCATACCCATTATGATCTGCATTGACATGCTTTGGATATTAGGTTTCAATACCTTGTGATGGTAGAAGCATATCGTTTAAATATCGGCATAGAACTCCATATTATTAGTGAATTGAATTAGGATTTGTTTCAGATTGTCGTTCCTAAAGATAAGTGTTTTCAAGTCCTCAGGACGTTCCCAGATATTTTGTACGGTATGCCTATGTTTTTCCAACATATTCTCAATAATCTGTCTCGGACTGAATTCCTCTACAGGGAGGATTGCATCGGTGGGAAACTCTTCCAGAAGTGTGACTTCAAGAACACTGCGAGCTCGACCTTTGAAAAATCCTTTAGTATCGTTGACAATGCCTTTAATAGACGTAGTATTCTTATGTCAAACTAACGTGCAGTTAGAGCTTTCGTAATATTAGTTTAGCAGATATTCTTTAATCATAGAACAGCGTCCTGAGGTGAGTCACCCTCTGGTCTTCCATTCTCGAGTATTTTTCGTTCAACGTTACGTAAACCCCAATGCGTGTATTAATTCAACTTTAACATATATAAAGTACGTAAATTTCTGAAAGCTCAAGCAGGCGAAACAATGAGAATTTGGCTTCCATAATTCTAAATACATTAAATATGTATCTATGCGTTTTGTTAATGCGGAAATCTAGAAATAGGACACTATATACATCTGAGCATATCTCTCTCTCTCTCTCTCTCTCTCTCTCTCTCTCTCTCTCTCTCTCTCTCTCTCTCTCTGTCTCTATCGTATGTATACCTGAGATTCACGTTTTGCAGAAATCACTTTGCATAAAATATCTTTGGTTCCAGAAAATCTTAAAGTTATTTTCAAGGTACTGGCGTTCTTTTTAATAAATGTTGATTAGAAAATTGTTATCAACAATGAAAGTTTAGCCAACAAACAAAGAAAAGGACATATAAACATATATATGTCTAAACTCTGCGCATTAGCCGTACACTTATTTGCTGTCGTTACATATTGGTAAAAGAAGGAGCTACAGAACAATACAATGCATAACAAAATTATCCTAATTTGTATGTAAATTTTTTCTAATTTATGTTAATGTATATAGGTATAAATATACATAAAAATTAGAAGAATAAATTGAAAAGATAATACATTAAATTATGAATCACATTTATTGTGATGCTCACGTATCATGTTAAATCGTCAAGGATTTCAAACGAAACTGCATATTTAAATATCGAAATTTTTGGGTGGACACAAGTTGTTCATAATCTCATATTTGGCCACATTGTCGAGAGATTTGTAACATAGACGGATAACAACGTGGAATTAAGTATTGGAAAAGATATCAAACGTTTCTTAGTTTTCAGTATTATCCAATGAAGTTCTGAGTCAATGAGAGACACTCAATTGTACTTTAGGAAATATTTTTTACAGTGTACAATATCTTATCCCATGTTGCTTATAAAAACTAGTTGAGTATACCAAATTTGTAACGATATCAATATCTTCAAATCGAGGCAATATTTGATTGATCAAAATTTTCGCCCGTTTATGTTTCTTGTTCCATGAATATGAGATTAAATACTGAACAAAAATGAACAAATCTTTGCGATTATACTTTGATTTAATAAAAATATGACAATCTAAAGATGATTACGTCATTTGGTCCATTTGCGATACAATTCAGTGATAGTTCTTGCCCTCTTGTATTGCAATTATGATTAAAATATGTACATAACAAACTTTACTGTATATAAATAATTAATTAGATAGTAATTATCTCGAATATAAATTTCCAAGTATTTAGGCCCGGTTTTTCATTGTCTGATGAAAGGTTAACCACAGGTCGATTACCTATCTCTTCTTAGGTAATAATATAGAAAAAGATAGTCGACTAACCTCTGGTTAACAATTAACCAGAAAATAAACCCCGGACCTCAGAGGGCTAAAGTGGTTATTTTAATAAAATTATGAGACTTTACACATATACGTATAATTCTTGGAACATATACACCTTAAAGTTTGTAGCAATAATTATATAAATAACAGAAAATTGTCATGTTAGCACTCACGTTCAATATAAGTTATACTCGATTTCAAGTATCAAAGCACAGCCATTAAAAAAAAGTAATCATTCTCTGACTTGTCTATCTAAAAATCATTGTCTGAGACCCATCAGATTATATGCGAATATCTTAATATTTCTTCATATTGGGAACATATCTCTTCGCGCAAATAAAAAACCATTATTAGTCCACAGTACAGATATAAAAATTATTTCAAAATCTATTTTGCATGCATTAAAAATATACGACAACGTATGATAATAAAGAAACTTAATATCTAACAGTAGTGAAAATGTAAAATGATATTGTTTAAATGGGATCACATCTTTGGTACACAATTTGTCATTAGTATCAATATTTCAACGAACACCACCTTTATTATGCTAATAGCTATGGCAAGATGGGGCCAAATATATTCTGATTATATATTAATTTCTTATCACCGACAATAATATCGTAAGCTTCTGAAACAGAACGAGATTTATGTTCTCCTTGTTTAACATTATATCTGATAAATCTCTTATCGCTAATTTGTTATTCATAAAAGCATATTGTACAGCTGCATCCCCATAACAGTCTTCAGTTTTAATATTAAATCCGTCTAATTTCTTTTTTATAATGAAATTTTTTAAGCTTTTTATCGTCCCACGTGATAACAATCGAATTCGTCATTTGTCACTATTTAGTTAATTGGCTCTCTTGTTAATTAAGAGTATACGTTTCTATCCATGAAAAGATTCATGATCGTTCTAATTTCATCAATAATTAAAAACGCCACAATAACAAATCGATTCTTACTGATATAACATTGGAAAACCGGACGTATTTTTTAAGATCAAAAATATTTCACGATTCGTGACACTTATCGAAAGAACATGGATTATTTGCAACGAATTAGTGTACATCGTTACGTTTTGGCAATTACTAACATATACTTGAAATTCCATGGGTCAAGCTCTTCTCGAGGACAATATGGAACTCGCTCAACGGCTCAAGAATATGAATGAGGAAGGTCAATAACGTAGGATTTCTCAAAAACGAATTCTCCTCGTACATATCTGCCGTGGAACGTGCGTCGCTCATCGGCCGCAACATGGGATAAAGAAGCTGTTCTCTGAAAATTATTTAATTAACGAATAATTTTAAAGAACACTGAAAGACGAATTGAAAGTGGATAATATCGTTAAAAATATTTTATAAACTTACCTTGCTGCTAAACAGATAAATAATTGAAATTTCCCATCTTTTCCTAAAGTTTGACTAAACATATTAATTTGATCAATGAGATGACAATAACATCTCAAGATCGTGAATCTCTGACTGCTTTCTGTGTATGCTCTTCTATCTCGGCTGAGTCTCTGAGAATACTCATCCATTTCCTCTAGCAGAGAAATCTCGAAATTTTCTTTGACACGTACTGCAATAGAGTTTCAATTATATGCTTTTCCAACTTGTTCAATTTTCTTCTCGAATATGATCGAATTTGTACTCACAGAAGTAGTCCCAAACGTAAAAGTTCCTCCCAAATATTCTCTGATTTTTAAAACCAAATAAAAATATTTGTTCCAAGGACGGCACGAGACCGCCTTCTCCACATAGCAGAGCCGTCAATGAACCATCTTGGCATTCTCTTCTGTAGTGATATTTAACTATAGCATTTACAGCTTCGCCTGTAATATTATATTAGATATTATTTCACTTAATTCTTAATATAAGTTAACTTTTATCGATTATAATAACAAATTTGTATCATCTTTTATTTTGTCATTCTATATAAATTAATTTTTTGTTTATTGTTAATAATATGATCACGAGCTCGTTTTACTTTTTTTAAATAACTTACGATATGACTATAATTTACTGTATTAGAAATGTATCCCAATTAACATACTAATATTATTTAACATTTTATATATTAATGTCAATTAACAGACATTATAGACAAGTCCAAGACAAATAATAATAATTATAATATTAATTTACCAAGCATATGTTGCAGTTCAGCTTGCGATAATATAGGACGCCTAGGTATACTCGGAGATCTACATCTTGGAGGTGTGGAACATGATTCTACCAACTCCTCGCTATCAATGCTTCGAGGTACTAAAGCACCCACTAATAAACGCTCAGTAGATCCATCATCTATTCCTCTACCGAGCCAACGACCACAGGGAAACTTAAAAGTGTGTCCAGTCACTTCGTTTCTCACTACAACGTGTTCCACCATCCACTTTGGCGATAATCCAGTATTGTCATGTCCAATCCGTAACGTAGACAGTACGCCTAAATTTTTATACTAAAAAGTACAAGAATAATTACATAATTAAAATGCGTGAAATTAAATTTATTACACAACTAAATTTTAAAAAAATGTATTTTAAAATGTTGAAAATAAACATTTACTATTTTCAGAATATTTGTTGTTCTAGAATGTCAATTAGTTCAAATAGAGCTAGTCAATTTAAATAAAATTAATATTTTTTATGCGGTAAAGCAACAATATACAAACTAGAATACTTACATGAAATACAAATTCGAGTGCTCCTTTTGGTATAGGTACGGGATTAGTTTCGCAGAGTGTGCCAGAAATAGCGATCCAACTATTAGCCGAAGTCGTGGCAGCGCTTGCCTTACGACTGGGGAATATCACAACTCGATACGGTAACTTCGTCGTGGGATAGTTATTTGTGAAGCAGAAGTAATCGACAGCATTCAGTGTTAGAAGGTGGTACAAAAATTGCTCTTTCTCTTCTTCACAGCGTAAAAACGCTGACCGTTTGTACTGGCTCCTAATAAACCATAAAACTAATGAATTAGTTTAATGCTCAAAGAGACTATTACTTAGTTATATTTCATAATTATTAGATATTACTAGCGTTATATGAATATTAATTAAATATTGGCTAATATTATCAGATATATCGTGTGAGAATGGTCGTATTTAATAATTCTCAAAATGCACCTCAACAGAGCACTGTCCGACAATAGCGTCTTCAAATGGCGCGACAACAATTTCTTCTCGAGCGCTAGTCGCACCCACGCTCTTGCGTAGCCAATGTGTGTTTTGATATCGGTCATCGCTTGAACGTTACGGATGTCGAAGATTAGAGAATCCGGGAGAGGTCTCAAGTGTTCAGGACCGACAGTTTTCCTCTCACCGGGAGATTTGTGCTTATCTGTGCCTCTCGTGGGTGAAACGTCCGTCTCCAATTGCAAATTTGACAAATCTATATTACAATATAAAATATTTTAGATACAGGCATTCCTTCAGTCGAGCAAGGGATGCGAACAAAACACAAGCAAAGACAATATTCTTTTGGTCAAACATTTATCTAATTATACTCAATATTTTTGTGCATACAATAATATACATGCAAATTCAGTAACATGCCTCATACAAACATCCAGGAACACGTTGTAGACGTACACAATCCTTTTTAATAATTTATATAAAAATATATCACACATACCAATTATATTTATAATTATGTCGTAGCACAATCTGACATGCATTCTTTTCAATAAAAGACATTATCGGTAAATTTGTTTAAACTATAATATTAAAATAATATGTAATGACAAATGTACTGACGAACTGTCACTAAGAAATGACTTGTTATCGAGATATTGGTTAATCAAACATTCACGAGCTTCAAAAAAAGAAATACCGCTAATAGAAATAGTTCATAAAACTGTTCTTTTTGTGGCAAGCCAATATTAAGGTTTACCATTAAAATTGTCCTTGATGTAAGAAGCAATTTCAATAATACTTTTGCCTCTTAAAGATGAAACCAAACGATCCGGTATTCCGAAAAACCTATTCGGAGATTTCTTAGCTAGTTATAACATAAGAAATAAAAGGAAAGAAAAATTAAACACATAATAATGATAAACAGAATAATAAAATCGCTTACATAATTGCTTAGTTTAAACTTTCGGAGCGCTAATGCAGATTCCGTCATCAAATATTCGAAGATAAAATAATACGCGCGTGCGGTAAAGCATAAACACGTAATATCAACTGTTGTGTTTGGTGGATCACTTACAAAACTAACAGTGCAGGATATCTACGTACGAAGAGAACACTAATCTCTACTTTATAATACATTATCTTATTGTAAAACGGAGACACGTACAATCGAGTCGCTTCCGCAGCACGGACCACGCTAGTGCTGCATTTCCGCAAAATAATTTAATTTACAATCGATTATTTTTTTCTGCTGCGTATATACACATATTATTCATTTATTTTGATTGTGTATTAGATAAAAACACGAAAATATAACATTAAAGTATATTAAATCGTAATATTTACACGATATGACACACATTTAAAACATGCATATCTTACCAGGGGAAAGAAAGTTGGGGTCTATAGACTTAGTTGCATCATTACATTCTTCTGATTCTTGGTACATGGTCAAATGCGACCAAAGAGCGCTCTTGCCCTGCTTGTTTTGCAGTCCGTGGCTCCACACTCGTTCCAACAGATCACAGAGACTGGCGACTAGAGTGTTCTCCTCGACGTCAGACAGAGACTCGCCCCCGTGACCAAGCGCGACGGCTTCCGATCCCATTTTTTCCACTAACATTCTTTTTGTCTTTGATTTGCAATCCTTATCACAAAAATAACATTTTGTATTAACAATTTTACAATTGTAATACTTAGGAATAATAATAATCACATGTTAAATCTTATATGTAATATTAAATTATTGTAAAGTATTAAAATAAAGTAAAGTATTTTAATAAAGTATTAAAATAAGTAATATGTAATTCATATGAGATAAATGTAATTCTCAAATATAGTTTAAGTATAAATAATTCTGAAAAAGAATTCTAGATAATAAATAAAATAAAGTATGTTTCAATTATGTTAGATATAATATTCACAAGAGTACCTTGAGCAATTTTTCTACAAATGTCCAATTAGCCTGCGCTATTAAAGCAGGGCTCATGTCCGCTGAGAGTTTGGTTTGAGGTCGAGGTGATTGAGATTCTTGGGGTGTTACTGGCTTTCCATTTGTATCCATGGATTTCATCTTATATTTCCATTGTGTCTGTCCTCTTCTACTACTACAAGCGGAAACAATCAATTAATTATATATTTATGTCATTAATTAGGCGCAATAATTTACAACGTAATTTATAAGTACATGCAAAAGTACATTTTCGAAGGACACGGAGTAAAATTAATCAAGCAGGTAATTCACAAGATTTTCTTTAAATTTCTTTCAATTGTAAAGTAAATCTTACAAATTACAAACATGACACACTTTGCCACAAATCCCATTATCTTAATTTGTTCGTATTAAAAGTTGATTCTTACCGAAGTATACTATACAGGAAGCACAAAATAGGAATAGCAGATATTAATGAATTTGACAATGGAAGATTATATTTGTTAAATAAAAATATCACAATAATAATGTACCTTTGAGTGGGCTCTTTATTCAATGCGACGTTATCTAGCAACGGAAAACTCCGAAAATATGCGGCTCTATGAGGAAGAATCTCCGTAGGCGGATTTGTTTCAAAATCTACGTTAATTAATCTCTGTTCGAGTATTTTTTGTATATCTGCGATGTTCGTACAAGGCTCGTATCGCATTGATCGTATGATACTTTCTCCGACTTTCTTCCTGAAATACAGAATAGATAAAATGTAAATTAAAAGATTTTTATATCTTTAATTAAAATCTTTTCACCTAAATAGAGATCGTTAAAAAATAAATAGAAAGAGTATTAAATCATTATTACTTACTTTAAAGCGGAGATCCTTTGGTCGAAAACTTTAATGTTGCAGTCTAATTCGCTCCACGTCGACATCACTTTGCTGTCAACGAGAGAAGCGAACATCTGCGTTTCCAGAAATCTCGACAAAAACGGCAGATGTTGAGTCGGCTGGTCAGATAAAAACGTAGCCTTGTCGAAAACGTGCATACTATCCCTATTGGTGATCCATTCATCCTTGTCCTTCAACGTAAAATTTATTACAATTTTATTATAATTACAAGAGACAGCTTTTAATTTTATCTTGTGGAAGCATTGTATGCCTGTACCTGACTCGGTTGAATAACAAAATGTTCGTAACTGGAAAACATTTGTACAAAACGGTTCAAAAAGATCTCCCTAATAGCATTATTGAAGATAAGAGTCTCTTGATATTCCTCCTGCGGAGTGAGTATTTTTTCCGTTTCTTCTTCTGTAGGATCAATATCATCCATGTTCACTGTAAGCACGAAAAAATTAACAACTTGGAAATAATTGTGATAAGAATGCTTCGCTATATAAATCGCCTTTTACCTGTTCTCTTAACGATATCCACTATTCTTTGCAGATTATCTGACTGTGGTCCTGGCTCCGGCCGATCCCAGTCTAGCACATCGTGCAAAGAATGTTTTCTGCGAGGAAGATGGAAACCAGAACCGGGAAGTGTCAGGCTGCTGGTCATGATGTCGCCATTGTAATAATTAATGACCATGTTATCAGTCCTACAAAGATTTCGCTTGATTTAGATACAGGATAACAATCGAATTTCCATCTCGATCTAAAGATAGATAACTTACTTTCCTGAATGTGGTATTTTGTACTTGTTTAGAAGCGCTCTGATCTCCGTAATGAACTGCATTTTATGAGGAAATACAGGCAACTCTTCCGGAAATTGGCTATTTTGCTTATCTATATCTACATAACAGAGGTTTGCCTGTAATCAAACGCGAATGGTATTACTCATAACTAGTAGCACACAATTGCCTTGCGGCCGGTTGTCCCGACCTCTTGGTAAGTTAATTAATAAAGTTAAATCATATATAGGCCTTTGGTTTTCCTTCAAATTAGACAAAGATATAATTTAACTATTATCTTACCAAGAGGTTGGAAAAACCGGCTCTAAATCTTTCACAGAACATTACTTTTCTCCAATGTAACAAAAGAACGAGATGTAAGAGAAAGATGTACGATAACGTACTTCGCTAGCGATTTTTAGAACGCCGCCCTCACTATGCGCGTGCAGACCCATTATGAAGGGCACAGGTGCATCCAGGAAGTGATGCAGACTGGCGGGCAATATCGGTACATAGACGTGTTGCCACGAGAAAGGAAACAAGAGTGCCGTTATGCATTCAGACACCACCATCAGCTTGTGAAAATCAGCGCTTCTCAAGAGAACTTGGTTCTCCAACAGCACACACGTAAATAATTGAATTAGACAGTCTGCGCCCAGCCACGTGAACACGTCCTTGAGAGGATAGTCCAACATCGGTAGTTCCAACGATGGAGACGGTTGATGGATGACCAATTCCAGTGGCGATTTCGCCGGTTCATCATTGGGTACGAAAAACTTCAACGATTTGCCGGGTAACGGTATCGGTATGTTATACAGAAGATTATACACGTAAGATTCTAAACTAAGACCAGGTCCAGGATGTCTAGGAACACACCTGAAAAAAGATTTACTGATTGTATCATAATCTTTAATATCGCAGTGTGCATTATAGCTTGTTATGCATAAATTCCATCAGACTATCTGTCACCACTAAAAGATCTTCGGCTTTTTAAACAAATGATATTTACACAGGATCTAGAAGGCTATTTAAGGCTATTTTTATTTAGTCCATCGTATTAATTATCCCGAAGGAATTATGCAAATATTTCAAATAATCGGTAAACTACGGCAGTATTACATGTTGTGAAAGTTTTCATTTGACTATAATAATAACGGTTGCAGCAAAAAGACATTTCTACAGCATTTGATCAAAATATTGTATGTTTCCATTGCAGACATTTGCAAGATTTCACGTTGGAGATACAAGTTTAAATACAATATTTGAGAAGCGCATCGAAAAAATAACGCTGCTGAGATAAACGCGAAAAACATTTTGAATTAAAAAGTCCTTTTCGAAAATTAAACTCCTGTCTTTTACGTTCGTTATCAGACAAAATTTGTGCAGCGCTTTTAACATAATATTATTACTTATACTTGTAACTGCTCTCGCGAAGCATAAAATAAACGCGGTAATATAAGAAGAATGGAGCTGTGTCAGCACGTTTCAATGGAGTTCGTAACACTCGCGGAATATCTTACTTATAGAGATTAGTGAGGAACGTCTTCGCCGCGTGGAGGTAAGGTTGTTGGCATAGCAAGGATATTGATTTGGTCACTAGTAACTTGTCTTTGGTAGAGTCATAGTATCCTAACGCAGCACCGGGCGAATGGGCTGACAATTTAAAGTGACGAGGCAGCGATCTCGTATTATGTCCATCCTGACCCTTTCTCGTACTGAAAAAAATCGCGAAGCATGTTTTAAAATACAGGAGGACGGAGGAATTTATTTAGCATGTGCTTGTGGTGCAATTCAAACGTAATTTTCACGTGTTTCCATATTTTCCACGTTCGAAACGATAAGTTCGTTTATTTCTAGTTGATCAAACTCCAAGTTTTCAATCGGTTTTTGCACAGTAATCTTCATCTCGGTAGGAATTAAAGAGACAAACAAGAATTTTCAATTTACCGAGGAGTTTGACACTGAGAGAGAACCGCCGATTTTTGTACATTTGACAGAGATAGAGAGAGATGTGTATACGCGGGTAAATGGAGGAAATTAAAAGCACAATTGTACGGAAAGCAAACGTACGTGGGAGGCGTGCCGTTCTGACCGCTGCTGAGCTCCGTGATGTGCATCGCTTGTAACGTTTGCATAGCGGCGCATATTTTGCGGTTGCGGCACTCCTCGTAGAAAACGAGGCTGAACCCGTACGTCCTGTGGCCGTCTTCTTTCGTGAGGACGAAGGAGTGGAAGGTCGGCTCCACCGAGTGCTTTTGCGTACGAAATCGCAAACCGCTTGGCAGACAAAGCTATTATCAATGTAATCGATAAGTTACTCCCCTCGACTGCGCGAGACGCAAGTGTTCCCTGAATCTAATTGCCAAAACCACTTCGGGCCTGACAGCGTCCTGCGTGACGTAGAGTAAACCTTTGTGTGTCTCACATTTAATTATTATTAATTGATATTAATTAATTAACTTTATTTTATCGTACGGCACGAATTCACGTACGAACTTGTTGATGGACATTAATGAAATGAATATTACCAACTAATTCAGCTGTTGTACTCTCTTCGCTTTTCGGTGGTACACACAATGAATGAATTATATAACGCAGACAAATTCATTACTGACTTATAGCACGCTGACGGAGTTGTAATCAGCAATTGGCTGTATCATGACGGATACACATACCATGCAGACAGCGTGCTCGTCGAACGGATTCCATGGTACCGAGTCTGGATAATGTCCCAATACTTTGCTCTTGTACGCTCGATCCAGGGGTGTGCACTGCAATGAGTCACCTGTAAAAACAACCAACAGCCAAATTAGACTTAATACCTTTCGTAAGCATCGAGTCTCGTTCTTAATCGGAAGAACGGCTTCTCGAACGATTTTTTTTTTCCATTGGATTGCACTTGAGCAACGATTGGAGAAGCTCCGCTTGTGCAGTCTCTCTGTCACGAATGTCACAGCCAAACATCCAGCGTGAATATTTTTTTTTCGTAAACACGCAGTAGCTAAAATGTTTGCGACGAGGGAAAAGAAAATTCAGAGCGACTCAATTTGTGAAAGAAAATCCGACTCTAAGAGAGCGAGAGAGAAAGAGAGATGCGCTTATCTTGCAGTGGAATCAGCAAAGCTGTTATCGAACGTGCCACACGATCCCACGAACGAGAGACGGTCCAGGAGGCCTTGGCGTTGCTCCAACTACTCCGGAGTATTCCTCGTCAGAATACAAGAGTGCTCCTGTACGAAGTTAATCGTTCGTGATCAAAGAGCCACCCAAGACGATGAATCTGCATTTGCAAGATGCGAAGGAGGGGAAGCTGCGAGTGAACACCGCGAATTGTGCAACGTCCTTTGCAACAAGAATTAATCACGATCAATAAAGCAACCAATAGATCGCTGCCAATTAAGCTCTCATTCTCGATGCAAAGGATAAAAAATGAGCGTAATCTCGCCGTACTTGGAAACGCGGACCTTTAATTTTATTTTACAAAATCCATTATATATAATATATGATGTACATTATGTAACATATAATATAATAATGGTACGTTATATTATTTAATTTACATAAATGCACTTGCCCATAAGTTACGATGCAATATTAAACGCATTTCGTGCTCTCTCATATAGAACGCGTCAATGTGTACTGTTGATTGTATTGCATTTTTCTAGAATTGGTAGCCTATTGCATTTTACGGTGAATATCGCTTAGATATCGCATGAAGTTTCTGAAATTTTATCCCAGCTATCAAGGTAGATAATGATCCGAGCTAGGAAATGAGATTCGATCGAAGCATTACTTCCGTATGCGAGAGTCTCCCGTAAAGCCTCGTAAGCCGTTTGCCGACGTCGAACTTTCCTTTCGGATTAAAGTCAGATAGTACGCACATCCCAAGTTCGTGCTCCGAAATAATCTACGTGCATTCGAGGATCCGTTGCTATGCAATAATTCTCGCTGTAGAGTATAACACTACGGCAATTGAATTCTACCTTAAACAACTCGCTGTTTACTGTCACATCCTGTATCACAATAGCTGCTGGTGCAAGTTTCTCTCTTGAATTTGTCACGTTTTGTATTGCCAAAAACTCTGTGCAAGAGCGATAATTTGTACAATAATTATATTTCATACAGTAACATCACAATTTAAATATTGATTAAAAAAAGGTGCTTTTAATGGCGTAAAATATTACACAATATAACACACCGATAAAAGTATATCAATACGTGCAAATACAGTAAAATAACACTCGCCTTAATATTTTGCAAGAAGTTGAAAATACGATGAAGACGATTTGCATAGTTTTTAATAAATTTTAAACGTGTTTCGTTACAGCAAGTGCAGTTGATATTTTCTGTACAATGACACGAACAAATGCACGTAGAATTGATTTTAATCCGAGGTCTTAATTGACGTTATAAACTGGTCTGCGAGTCAATCTCCGTTTGGAAATGATGTTTACGAAGTGATAATCGAATGGGCCGATTGAATCGGTCGTCGCCGAAATCGCCAGTCTCGATTAACAGGCCGCGATAGCTTTTTCCGATATTTCAGTTTCTCATCCACACGTGAGATTCCCGAGTAACAATAAATCACCGTATACACCAGATCGGTCCAGCGAGTTTGTCTTCTACAAAAATATACATGTTTCGTTTATTTTTAGAAAACTGCGCGTCAAACTCTCACATAAGAATCTCTGGTTAAATATTGCCGCAGCAACGCTGTAAAAATTCGCGGCGAGTTTGCAAAATAAATCATTTGCGTAAAGAATTCGTATTCGTTCGCGAATTCATTAATTCTTATCAAAATTTTATTCACAATTATAAAAAGTGACAAATGAGAAAATTCTTGCTTTCACTTTATTACATGCACTACTGAACATTTATATATCTTTTCTTGTCATTGCATATCTTTATTGTTTATTATTATATAAATACAAGATTTTCAGGCAATAATATATCAAATTGTAAAGAGTTAAGACGTCGTAAATTTTACTTATTATTGTTTTAATCGAAAGAGAAATTGTAGATCATGACAGTCCATATCGTACGGCGTGCCCTGTGATGTCTAAATTTATTCTTTAATTTTATCGTTCTCTCAAAGAAAAGAAACAAAGGTTTTCTTCCTATCACACTCAAAAATTATTATTACGATTCAGCGACTTATGCAATGACACGAGCGTTAGCGATAAAAGTTATCTACGATAAAGATCTACGATCTATTCATCTAAAATCATTGCGTATCTCCTCCGAAAACGAGTCACGCGGGTCTGTCGTCATCGTGTTTAATCGAGCGCAGAAAATTGATCGTCGATTCCCTCAGTTAAACTCTCGCCGTCGCGAGTCTCGCGGTGATGTTTAATAATTTCGCGTGTGCATTCTGCACGTATGTGTGCGTGCTCGGGGAAAATGTTGCAGAATAGCTTACTTTCAACATCGTAATTATCGTACGAATGCTGCGACTACGGCTGGAACCATTGCATTGCTCAGGCCTGCTTACCGCACGTCTACCTCGTCCCAGTTATTACGCGAACATATTGTCCCTAAATTCATATTGTCCCCCCCCCCCCCGCACAAATGCACGGGTCTCCGTACTTTCTACAGTTTCTACAGTTTCTACTCTCGTACACGCATCGCTGCCGAGACGGTCTTATTACGAGTATACTCTTAATTACGCCGTACCTCACGGGCCACATCGAAGTGCGGTTGCTAACGGTAATGGTACGAGCAGTGTCTGAAAACAGACGGTCTCGCACCGGCTCTTAATTGTTCGATAAATCTCCCTGTTGCAGGTAACTGTACAAATCTATTAAAACAACTCTTAAAAATGTATTAAGAGTAATTAAATGGCCGTTGCTTGTGTGCGCGAGAGCGTTGAAACCGCTTTTCCAAGATGTCTTGGCTGCACAAATATTCGACACTTGGTCGTCACACTGGGTCAAAATGATGCAGACTTTGACATAAGATCTCTTTCAAGTTTGCTTAAAAATGTTTTCAGTATGTTTTAATGCCACTGGTGTTTAGTGGTAAATTTTTTTTTGTCATTCTTCGAATTTTTTTTAAGAACTTTCTTCAGCACGATGCTACTTCAAATATAATTTTTTTATCATGAAAATGTACCCAATGTTCGAAGTTTATTCTATAATCTTTTCAAGTAAATATAATCAATAGTCTTTAAACAGCAGTTCATTGAAAATTGGCTTGGGTCAAATTGATCCAGTGTGACAGACTCGTTGAAAAAAAAGGTGAGACGACCACGTGTTAAGCTTCAATTTAAATTTAATTTAAATGAAATCCCTCTATTTCCCTCTTTCACGTAAGGCTTTTTTCGAGGGGAAAACCGCTGACCAAAATCTTGTACACCAATGCCCACTAAGCGTTACTTGATCTTATTATGATATTTTATCTTATTTTATCTTTATAATGCCTCAGCAAAGCCTAATGCCCGAACTAATGTCCAAAAAATGCCCAGTAATGCCGCAAATCAATGCCCTCAGCGGTTTACCCCTCGCTTTTTTCACTTTATATACAACTTCTGAATCATATATAAGTATTCAGAAAGTTGTTTCGTTAAAGATAAATTTCCCAGCTCGCAGTTTAATTTTAAGCCGATGTGCCTTACAATAAATTCCTGTAAAACTTACGAAATTATTCTGTTGCACCGTATATTCTACAATTTTTATCAAAGTCTCTTTCGCAGAGATCATTGATCTCGTTTACGAGCAAGCCGAGCACTTGCCCCGAAGATAAACATCACGCGGTCGATTTATGTATATGCATCCGCGGCACGAGGTAAATACAAAATACAAGAGAGAAGGGCAAACCACGAGGGCGACAGGAGAAAGAGAGAATCACGTCCGAAGGAGAAGAAAGGGGGAAGAAAACGAGCAATAAATGAACGATACGCGCCCCTGTGCCATGGAAAGTATTGATTCGAGAGCATGATGCTCGCACGAGGCGTGGAACAAACGAATATTTTCAGCGAATCCGCCTGTGCGTACACGTGCATATGCACGCCCACGCGTGCCCATAAACGCGTGTGCCAACCGCGTGTGTCACGCAACAGAAAGGAGACTTTCCGCAAATCCGTACGAGACATAAAATGTCTGGCAGAAAAGCAGATAAATAAGTAGCTTCTTTATTAAAAATTTTTTTTTCTCTGGCTAGCAAAGCTGTTAATAGCAACTAATTAACGATCAATCTTGATTACGAGCTAATTACATATGTCGAGGATATTTATGCTGTATGTAAGAGGATTAAAGTGTTTTAGAAAATAATTTTTTCATAAGTTGTAATATGCGGCGAGGAAATTTAAAAAAGTTGTTAACGAAGGGTTTCTCTGGAAAATTAATTAACTTCTTAGAAGCTGAAAACTATTAGCCATTGCGGTTTTAATAATGTTAAGAAGTATATAATTTATGTAAAGCGTTCCACACTTTTTTCAGATTGAAAGGCGTCACTCTTGGAAGAATCTTATCTGCAGTCATAAAAAATTATCGTTGACCCTACTCGAATATACCATTGATAACTACGTTAAGTATGAAATTTTAATACACAGCAGTTTTTCTCTGTTTTCTTCTATTGCTTTAATGCTCCAATGCTGCAACTGCTTCAAATTCTACCATAAAATTATTTTCTTACAGCAACATCATGAAATTCCAGAATAAACCAATCAAATTAAAAAATGATCGATTAGACAATATGAGATTTATTCAAAAACCAATTAATTTCGGACTCTTCTCAGAAATAATTTTATTTACTTTTAAATTCTACGATTGGCTTTTCATGAAAAAT